TGAGCCATCTCCCTGGCCCCCCTTCTATTCATTTTTTAAAAATCATCTATTTATTTGTTACAGGGTCTTGCCAAGCAGCTCGGACTTGTAGTGATCCACCGCTCAGCCTCTCCAGCACTGGGACTACAGACATGTAGTCCCAGGCATTGAACCCAGGTCCCTGAACTTGCCAGGCAGGCGCTCAGACTGTGGAACTATCTCCCTAGCCCTAGTACCTATTCATTTTTAATGTCCTTCTTCCATAAGCAAGAAACTACCCTAATTTGCTCTAGCCAGGATGCAAATGGAGCACAGGATTAGGGCTCAGGCATGTGCCTGTGAACCTCCAGCCTTTCATAACCCCTATCTGCATGCCCCCCATTCAGCTTGGGCTAGCTGTTCCTTATGCACCTGTCATGTGTCCTGTAAACTAGCATATCAGGGCCACACAGATGAGGATTTAATGTCTTAGAGCAGCTGACAGGCTGCTCTGCTGTGGTCACTGAGCATCAGGTGGGCCTCAGTATCCTTCAGAGACGCCGCCAAGAAGGTCCCATCCTCATAGTTATCTCACACTCCAAGGTGCCAGGGTCCCAGGAGCCGGGCCTGACTGAGGCAGGATCCGAGTGTGGCCGCCCTTTCACCTCTGCAACCCCAGGCCCACCCCGCGAGGCTCCTCAGAACCCGGAGGATGCAGCAGGGCCCTCCCCAGCCCGGCTCTTGGTGGCCGTACTCCTCACATCACGGACACCTGGTGTCTAACTCTCATCAGCAGCCAGAAGAACCTTTCATTTCCTGTTTTCTGGTCAAGGGATAGTGAAGATACAACAACAAAGGAGGAGAAACCAGACAATCTCCTACTAAAGAAGGAAGTGAAATACTCAGGGAAAAGGGGGATGCTTCTGAAAAGACTCCTGCTGCAAACGCCAAGGTTTTCTAAAGCACCATGAGCCCACTTCTATTACATTAGAGACACAGGTGAGGTAAACCAGGTTGCCAGGGACCCACACCAGATCACACCTTGATGAAAACACACCACACTCCAGCCTCTTCCCTCACGTGACAGGACCCCAGCAGAGCACACTTCTGTCCCCAACCTGCTTTCTCCACAATGAGAATGACAGCAGCAGAAGAGTCATGAGCTTGGAAGGATGGACTAGTTTTCTCACAGGAAACTTAGAAACATCTGCCTTACCTGGAAAAATCAGACACATGAAACAGACAAGAGTATGACTTGGCTTTAGGCCCGAAGATGTAAAACAAAGTAACCGTACAACCAAGAAGCCACGAACCCCAAAACTCCACACCAAGAAACGTAGGCTCGGTTATCCAAGCCAGCAAGCAGCCCTGTACAGTGAACCTAGACTTGGGCTCCTTCCTCAGCAAGGGCAAGTCTCAGTACTACAGCACTTAGTATTTCTCTGCCACAGTCTCCCACCCAGGATGTAACTGCAAACAGCCACATTAACAAGAGACCAGAAGGCTTCCAGGTTCCCAATCCGGACACCTGACGGCCCGGTACACATCAGTAGCCTCCCTCCCAGCAGCAATGTCAAGAGCGCCAACCGTCCCCATCTGCCAACACACTTTTAGCCCAACAGAATTGGGAAAATGCATTTGATTCAGCACAGGACAGCTCCGAGGAGCAGGCCACCACCTGCAGGCACACCTTGTCCCAGAGCAAGACCAGCAGAGACATGAGAGCTACAGCGCCACACACGCAGACGGCTGTGGTCTGCCTTTTCCTTCGCCCTATATTGTAGACCATTGCTGTTTCACTGAAATTACATTTCACATTCTGATCAGTAAGCTCAGGGAGGGAGGATATTGGGAACAATAAAACTGGACTTTCATTTTCAAAACAACTGAGTTCAAGTACAAGTCACAGGTTCAGGGGAATCTGGGGGTTTTTATAACAGGTTCTGAATACCATGGTTAAAATAGCCATTTCTAACATGAAACACATAGTGAGAAATGGAAACTGTAAGAAACCTAGTCATTTAACATTTGTGCTTTGCAGCCCTGTGAGAATGCCTCTCCCCGACCCAAGGCCAACCCACCACACTTCCCCACCCCAGTTCCGAGGCCTGAAACCCTGGAGCTGTCCCTGCTCACTCGCTCTCCCGCCCGTCCTCACCTCCTCCCCAGCGCTGTTTACTGCTCCATCCTGGACTGAGCCACCAGCACCTCACTTCCACTGGATCCTCTCCCAAGTGCTTCCTGCCCAATTTTCCAAGGCCAAAGGTCCTTTGAAAACAGGAGCCGAGGGCTGTACCGTTCCTCAGCTGCAAACCCACAGGGTCCCGACCGCCGTGTGACCACAGCTCCGTCTTCTGGATGCTGCAGCGCTGGACCTGGAGGGCTCAGCACACGCGCTGCCCGTGCCCGCCTGCTGCCCACCCTGCCCAGCATGCTCTCCCCTTTCAAGAAGCTCAGCTTCTCAAGTACTCGACCGCCTTGTGCTGTGGTCTCTCTCAGAACCCGGTTTTAATGGATGGAACTGGAGATCATGTCCAGCGGAAGAAGCCGGACTCAGCTAAGAGCCTCACATTTTCTCTGACATATGAAATCTTAAAGAAAAAGACAACATGGAAGTAGAGGGGAAACTTAGAGAACAGGAAAGGAATAGGGGAGTAGAAATTCCTTCCGTATGGTTTGCACACGTGAACACGGCAAGTAAGGCTGCTCTGTACAGCTCACACGAGGAGAATGCTCAAGCTCCAGACCTTCGCGCCAGGCAGCCTCTTCTCAGTGCAGAACTCAGACCCGTTTCTCTCGTCCTTACCACACTCTCTTCCTGTTGAATGCAAACCACCAGAGGCCTTTGTCTGTTTTGTTCACTGCTCTACCGAGCACCTCAAATACTCAAACATCTGATGAACAAACACGCTGCACAGCTGCATAGGAAACAGCTGCCGCATGAAGCGTGTGTAACTGAGGGCCGGTGCTGAGGAGGGCTGTGACCAGCCAGCACATCCATCCCGCAGGAGCCAAGCTGCCTTTCCCATGAACCCCGCTGTGTGATCAACGACTCCAGTCAAGGAAAGAAAGCACCACTTTCCGGAATGCGTGAAGTGCCCTTACGCTCAGGTAAAGGTCAGCCATGTGCACCACAGTTAAGTAGTGGGAGGCCTCCAAAACCTACTTGACAGGAGAAACTGTATACAAAGGTACGCATCTAGCCCTTGCTCGCTGCCTTTTCTGTCTTCTGGGACCATGAACTATTTTTCCTCAGGGACACCCCTTTACCGTGTGCCACCCTGACTCAGACTCAGTTGAGTACAGACTGAAACCTCTAGAAAATGTGAGCTAAATAAACTTTTCCTCCTTTAAAAAAGTAAACAAATGTCTATAAGAAGTTCTTTGCTCCATAAATCCTCCATCCACAACAGAGTTGGTGCCAGACTGGTCCCCGTGCTGGGTACTGCCCATAGGTGCACGGGAGCTCAGCACGGGCGCAGCGGGTGCACTTGGCCGGAGAAGCGGACAGTGGCACTGTGGCTGGGATGGCGCAGCTCCACTATTTGCCTTTCTTGGTCTTGGCAGTTTTCTCCTTTCTTTTCTTCACATGTTTAGGGATTTTGTTTTTTCTTTTCTCTCTCTGGGCTTCCTTAACCATCTTTTTTCTTTCCTGAGAAAACAAAACCAAAAAAATCCTATCAGTCATTCATTGGAAACATTACATCCATACTGTTACACTATGTAAACATCTACTCCTGGAAGGACAACTGAGTATAATTTAGAAAAAAAAAAAAAAAAAAAAAAAAAAAAA